GGGAGGGCAGAGGGCAGGCTGGGGGCGGGGGGCAAGAAAGCACTTGCAGTGGGGTATGGTCAGATCACAGCCACTTCCTCTCAGGATTTCAGACACGCATACACATGTGTCCACCATGTTTTTCAAGCCACCAGGGCCAGGATTCCATCCATGGTTAGCCATGTGGAACCTGAGTCTCGTTAACTCCTGTGCTGTGGAGTCAGCCCAATACAGATTACTTTTGTGGAAAATGTGGCCATTGTACCTCCATACTGTGGCTAAGTTTTTTAAATTTTTGCTATAGGGTATGTGTGCTCCCTGGAGAGGGAGAGACAGAGAGAGAGGGAAGGTGAGAAATCACCCCACATGGAGATGGCCATACCGCAATCCCTTCTCCTCCACTCACCCCTCGGGCTTTTGAGCATGAACACAGACACATCCAGCCTGAGTTTTCAAGCCCCTGGGTCTGGAACTCGAGCCACGGTCGGCCATGTGGGATCTAGCTCCTAGCCACCATGCACCCTCTGGCATTAAAAAAAATAATAATAATAGTTAGAAAGAATTGAGAAAAAAGCTGGAATCAGGATCCTTTCTCTGCAGTGTCTCTCCAGTGCCCTCTACTGTCAGAGTGTATCCTGCCTAGAGGCAGAGTAGAAATGTTGCCATGAAATAAGCAAGGAAGGGTGGATTTGGAGCCTGAGGCAGTGACAGCCTACACACTTGGTGACACAAACGTGGAGGTGGTGGTTGGGAGGGGTTGTAACTTCTGCAGTGGTTCTAGATTTGTGCCCCTAGACGTTTGGGAAAACACCCCAAACCTAAATTCTAATTCCGTGGCTCTGAGCAGGACCCAGAGATCTGTCATTTTTTTTTTTTTCCCAGAATTACTTATTTAATTAGGGGACTGGCAGGTGCCATAGTGGTTAGGGGCACTGGACTCCCACAAGGCCAACCACAGTTCAAGTCCCAGACCTGGCGGCTTGCTTTCTCACTTTCTCTCTCCCCCTCTCTCTCTCACTCTGTCCTTCTCTGGTCAAATTAAAAATAAAGAAATAAATAAAGTTAAATAAATTTTTTAAAAAAGAATTATTTAATTTAATTTATTATTATTATTGATTTGCTACAGGGTACATGCCCTTAACAGAGAAAGACGCAGAGAGGGCTCGAACTACATTCAGCCATGTGGGAGTCTAAAGCCTTAACCACCACACCACCTGCTGGCCCCCTAGGTCTATATTTTTGGGGAGTCTGGTGTAGGTGGGCCAATTTTTTTTTTCTTTAATTCACCAGAGAAAGACAGACTGAGAGAGAGAAAGAACCCCTAGTGGGGCATACTCACAGCACAGTCCCTTCTCTTCTATTACTGGGGCTGGGAATTGAACCGTACAGTCAGCCATGTGAAATTAAGCTTCATTAACCACAAGGCCACATGGTTAATCTTTGGACAGTGTATCAGGAACTCTGGCTTTGACTGTCATTTCCAGCTGAGAAGAGGCTTGGCCAATTTACCCAGCCGCCCTTTAACTTAGTCTGCGAGTGTCTAGGACACACGTAAAGCACAGCACCTTCTGTCAGGGATACTCAGTGTCTAACAGCTAATGCTTTTAGCTGTGTCACTCCCTACCCCAGCGAGACTCCACCAAGAAGCCAGACACTCAGGTCAGAGCTGCCAAGTTGGTGCTCATGGGCGTCATTCCAGATCCTTTACAGACCCTCCCCCTTCTCTGACCTCACCACCCCCTCCCTCTGTTGCTTTCTCTTTCCTCTCTTTAACAGCTGCATTTGACAAAAGACTCATCTCTTCACACCTTCTCTCTCCTCTCCCCTAAATGCCTCCCCAACTCACTCCATTTTGGCTTCTTTTTCCATAACCGCCCCAGATCAGAAACGTTCCTGCTGTCGAATGCAGCGCTTGATTGGCTGGCTTCATCTTACGTCATTTTTCTGGCACGTTCCACCTGGATGACAGCTTCTACTGTCTTCAAGTACAACTCCCTACTGGCTGCCATGCCATCTCACTCCCTTGTTTTCTCCCACCCTCCTGGGCAGCCCTCTCGCATCTCCTCTGCAGACTCGTCTTCCTCTACCTGCCCGTTAAGTGTTGGGGTTCTCCGAGGCCGTTTTCTCAGAAAACTCTATTCTTGTATGCACTCGCAGCACCCCGCTGTTTCCAGTCCTGTGTATTGTGGGCTGTGCCCAGGTTTCCTCTCCCAGCCCAGACCCCTGGGAACCCCTGGTGCTGTTGGATTCTGTTCGTTTGTCTCTCAGCCAGCACGTAAACGTGTGCGTGTGGCGTGCCTGCAGTGTCTCGGCACTGCGGTAGGAGTCAAAGCAGTCTTTTCAAAACAGGAACCCGGCCCTGTCTGCTCCTTTCCCCATTGTCCCATACCGCTTCCATGGTCACCCATCACCTGTAAGACCTGTGCGGCCTGGCCCTGCCAGTGGTTCTCCAGCCACCCTGGTGTTCTTTTACTTCAATTCCGTGATACTCCCCGCTCCCACTGGACCTTCGTACGTGCTCTGCTGCCTCCCTACCATCTAACAGGGCTTATCCATAAACGTACAGAAGGGAGTGAGGTGTGCAGTTGTGTCTCATTCGACATTTTATACATTCAAGTATATCAGGAAGGAAACACCCAATTAATAACCATAGGACCCCCATAGGGAGGGGGAAGGCCCAGGAGATTATGCTCACAGGGGAGCTTTACTTTATCTGTATTATTAGAATCTCTAACTGCAAGAACATGTGCCTGTCATGTGAGTTTTCTTTCTTTCTTTTCTTTAATAATTATTTTATTTAACTTTATTTATTTTCTAATTCGACCAGAGAGGGACAGAACAAGAAAGAGTGAAAGTGAGAAAATAATTCGCCAGGTCTAGGACTCGAACTATAGTCGACCACGTGGGAGTCCAGTGCCCCTGACCACCATGCTACCTGCCAGTCCCTGAGTTTTCTTTGTATAAAGATGGGATGGTATACTTAGCATGACAGCTCATATACTAAGCATAGGATATTAATATAGGAGATTCGTATTGTTATTTTAATAGTTTACACCCTTCTCCCATATAGATAATAGACATAAGAATGGTGAGGATTCTGGAAATATTTTTAAGAAATGATAAAAAAAGAAAACAGGAGGGATCAGAAGGTGGCGTGGTAGTTAAGGCACTGGACTCCCACATACATGGCTGACCACAGTTCAAGTCCCAGACCTGGTGACTTGCTTTCTCTGTCTCTCTCTGGTGAGAACATAAGCCCTATAGCAAATTAAAAAATAATAATGATTTCTTTAAAAATTAAATAATTATTAAATAATAATAATAATAAATAAGTAAATTTTTTGTAAAGAATTATTTAATTTTATTTATTCATTTTATTTATTTATTTATTTTTATTTTGACCAGAGAGAGACATAGAGAGAGAAAGAGGGAAAGTGAGAAAGCAAGCCACCAGGTCCAGGACTCGAACCATGGTTGGCCATGTGGGAGTGTCCAGCACCCTAACCACCACGCCACCTGCTGGTCCCCATAAATAAGTAATTTTTAAAAGAATTATTTATTTTATTTTATTTCTTTTCCTTCTCCTTATTTTTTTAATTTGACCAGAGAGAGAAAAAAAAAAAAAAAAGGGAAAGTGAGAAAGCAAGCCACCAGGTCTGAAGCCACTTGAACCATGGTTGGTCATGTGAGAGTCTAGCACCTTAGCCACTGTGCTACCTGCCGGCCCCTAAATAAGTAATTCTAAAAAGAAAAGCATTAAATAGTAGTAGTAGTAATAATAATAATAATAAGTAAAACTAAATCATTTTTAAAAAGAGAAAGAAAAGAGGAGATAGGGCTGGACCCATGGCCTGATGGTTAAAGCAGCCAGGTCCCACATGGCCAGCCACATCGTTTGAATCCTAGTCCTGGTGACTTGATCTGTGGGGTGTTTTTAAAGTGTGTGTGTGTATGTGTGTGTGTGTGTGTGTCCCAGATCCTGACAGGATGGAGAAACGGAGATGAAGGGATTGCAGCATGACTAAGTGCTGTAGGGGATGCTTTCTTTCTCTTTTTCTCTGCGACTGCCTCTGGTGAGCACACATGCTCTCTGGCAAAATTAAAAAAAAATAAAGCAGGAAATAAAATATGTACATGGAGCCAATTAAACTACGTGCACATTATTAATTACCAAAGCGAATTTGGGATGATTAAAAAAATTGTGAGTTTAATCATCATTAGATTTTTTTTTCTGAAAAGTTGGTGACTATCACAGAATAAATATCATTATTTTCTTGGGTGAAATGGGTGTGTTTCCTTTTAAAAACTTTATTATGATTGGTTTAACTATATACAAAAGTAGAGAAAATAGTAGTGAACTTCCACCTACCCATCACCCAGCTTCTACAAGTAAAAATGTTTTGTCATTCTTTTCATTCAATCTCCAAGCCCCTAAACTTGATGTTGTGATAAATTTAGGGAAAATACAGAGGAGTGCATTAAGTATAAAGATAGTACGATCCGGTGTAGCACTTTAGGATTCCAAATTAAGGCTATTCTTAAAATGTTATTAAAAATGTACATTTTTTTTCTTGGATCACTTTTAATGTATGCACTTTAGAAATGTATTCAGGCTCAGCCTCTGTGGCATAGTCAGGAGCATACCAGACTACGGAGCTGCCACCAGTTCAAGTCCCCAGCCTGGTTGGCCTAAAAACATGTCGGGTGCATGCATGCATGTCCAGGATCCTGGTGGGCTGAGCTATAAGGACTGGTGGAAGAAGGTTGTGGAGTGACGGAGCCCCATGGAGGGGGCTCCTCTCTCTCACTCCCCCTGCCTCATGCCCTGGCGCGTGCTCTGTCATGAAGCTGAAAAGTAAAGAAATATATTCTGTGCCTGTCATATGCCAGAGGTGATGGAACCATAGGCCCTTGCCCTCGTATTCCGTTTGCAGAGGAGGATATGCAGGTTGCAGACTGGACAATTTCCAATAGAGACGGGCAGAAACCTGGAGAGTGGTTTAACGTCATGTCCAGTTAGGGAAGGCGGCAGGAAGAGGAGGTGTTCTGAGACTGGACTTGAAAGGACAGGGAAGGGTTTCACAGGGGATGAGTGCACACAGGTAGTCTAGGCTGCTCCAGGAAATTTGAGACCAAAAGCAATTGATTAAAAACAGATGATCAAGATGACTTTTTAGTCAAAAATAAACTTTTCAGTATTTAGCTATTCAAGAATGGGTCATTTTAATGAACCACCAAGAAGCAAATTTAGATTTTTGTTTTTTGAGAGATTTTTGCTATAGGGCACGTGCACTCACTAGAGACAGAGAGAGAGAGAGAAGGCCAGAAATTGCCCCTCAGGGCGATGGCCATGCTGCAGTCTCTTCTCCTCCATTCTCATCTTGAGATTCTGGGCACACACGCACACGTGCCTCATGTGCGTTTCAAGCTACCAGGTCCAGGATTCGAACCTCAGTCAGTCATGTGGGAGTCCAGCACCTTAATTGCCATGCCACCAGCTGGCCCCAAGTTTAGATTCTTACATATCTTTAAGCATTTTTTTTTTTATCTCTTTTCTGAATTGTGTAGTTTTTTTTTTTTTCTCTTTTTTTTCACACTTGTTTCTAACTTATTTTCAGATAACTATTTATGTTCTGCAAATCAGTAGTTGAACATTAAAAACAATGGAGATGTTCAACTTTTTATTTTAGCTAAGAGCATAGGCAAACTGGAGCTTAAGATCACCCTTTTCATGGAGTACTTGAATACCAATGTGTGAAAAATGACAACTAGGTGGGGCTGGCAGGTGGTGTGGAGGTTCAGGCACTGGACACAAGTTCTGGATCTGGTGACTTGCTTCCTCACTTTCCCTGTCTCTCTCTGGTCAAATTGAAAAATAATAATAAAAAATAAAATGATTCTTTAAAAAAATGATAACTGGGTAAGATTTGTTTTCATCTGTATCCTCGAGACAATTTGATTCAAGGAACAGCTATTTTTCTTTAATTGCCAGAGGGCATGTGCACTTGCCAGAGAGATAGAAAGAAAAGGCAGAAAGCATCCCCCAGTGGGGCGCGGTCTCGCTGCAGTCCTTTCTCCTCCATTTCTCCATCCTGTCAGGATTTTTCGGCATGCATGCACACGCAATGGTTGTGTTTTTCATACCACTGCCTGTGACTGGGACTCGAACTGCAGCCGGCCATGTAGGATCCAGCTCCCTTAAACTCTAGGCTATGGGGCCAGCCTTCAAGGAATACTGTTTTCTGATGCAGTTGAGTACTACTCATTAGCAGAGTAGGCAGAGAGGAGTCAAGGCTTGGCCCATTTGGTGAATGGCAGTAGAATTTGTGGAGAGCAGAGGGAGGAGGAGTATTGGAAAGGTGGGAAGGAGCCCAGCATGGGAAGGGCTGAGCCACATTGGAGATTTTAGAGGTTTTGCAATCATGTGAACCACCCAAGGTGCTCAGGAATGGTCACGTAGAGGGAGATGAGCCATTTGGGGTGAGGTTCCCCGCCATGTTCTGGGACCAGTTTGTCCCATGGCTTTGTGAAGTTGGTCCCTGCCCCGGGCCCTGATTAGCTCATCTGCAAAAGGTGAGTTTCTTTGACTGAATTCTCCAGAGTTGTCAAATTTCTTTATCTGTTTTTAAAATTTACCTCTCTCCTTTTTTTTCTTTTCTTTTCTTTTTTTTTTTTTATTCAGATGGTAACCACTCTTCTCTGAGTTTAAAGGTAAGATCATTTTTTTAAAAGTGATTTTTCTCAATAAACAGAATTTCTATCATAATTTTTCAACAACTTTGTGCTCGTGGGAAGATAAACCTTCCCTCAAGAGTTCTTTCTTATTAAATGTGTATTTGAAATATTTTTAAAGAATGAAGAAGCATATTTTCCATAGTTTAATAAAGAAACGAATGTATTGAAGGGTTAGAAATGACTTATATAATTTGTGGAGTGGCTAGGTAATTTTAATAACTAATTTGCAAACACAGATTAGTTCTACCCTAAGTTTTTAATTGTGCAATGGCATAGGAATTTAAAAATTAAATATTTCTTGGGAGAGTTAATGTATAACCTTATCTACTTTTTCAGCAGAAATTAGCGACTTAATATCACACTGGTGTTTAATGGAAAGAGTCACAAAAGTCAAAAGTTCAGAGCCTTCCCTTACCCCTGTTTTGGATTGATAACCAAGATCTGTGTATTTTTTTCTCTACCTTGAAATCAATATCACTACAGTTGATGGGGTCCTTTGTACAAGGGGCAGTTGGAGTATGCTTTGCACACCTGTGCTCATCCTGTGGCCAGATCATGTGCTTTAAAAATGTGAACTGACTAGAACCAGTAGGTGGCATGGTGGTTAAGGCACTGGACTCCTGCATGGCTGACCATAGTTCAAGTCCCAGATCCAGAGGCTTGAAAATCATGCCAGACACATGTGTATGCACCTAAAATCCTGAGAGGAGGATAGAGGAGAAGGGATTGCAGTGTGGCCATCCCCCATGAGAGGTGATTTCTTATTTTCCCTCTCTGTTTCTCTCTAGCGAGCACATGTACCCTGTGGCAAAAAAACCTTGGGGTGGGGGTGGGGCGAGCAATTGAATTGCTGCCTATTGCTCTTGGGACCTGCAGGTAAAGACACAGTCACTGAACTCCTGGGCAAAAAGGCAGGGAGAGAGCTCAGAAAGGCTTCCTTCACCGCCTCAGAGCCCATCCCGAGGGGAAGACCCTTAAGGTGTGAGATTCAGTTCTAAGAAACAGATAGTAAAGTTTCTAAAGCTCTTGATAAAACAAGCTAAGAACTACAAAAACTAAACTGAAGGGGAAAATATATGCTTGTGTACCTGCTGTGTAGCCTAAGGACTCTAGCTGTGTGTCGTTGACCTAATTAATACACTTGTAGGAGGTGCTAAGACCCTTCATTCATTCATTCCTCATATATTTTTTATTCCCTAGGATGAAAGCCCTCCCTTATGTGAAAAACCTCCACTTTGCCCAGGTATTTGCCTTTCGAATTTCATTATGATTGAAAAGCGTATTGTTTTGGAGAATACCCAGAATAATCTCATCTGGAGATAAAAGGCACTTTTCCTTGCCCTGTACAGGCTGTTGCGTCTGTCCCCTACGAAGTGACTTAAAAAAAAAACATTGTGGAAACAGGGAATTAAAGTATGAGTTTATTTTGGTACAAAAATAATTTCAATCCATGCATATTTTTTTCTTATCTATTTCTTTTCTTGAATGAGAAAGACTGACAGAGAGGAGAGATAGACAAGACCTCCAACAGGGTCTTGATACTGATCTATCTTCAGCCTCAGCCAGGCCTGGATCATGGGTACTTGCACTCAGGGAGATCTCAAGTTTTGAACCAGGAACCGTGTGGGATTGCCTTGCAGAATGCTGTGTTTGATTGACTTGCCACTATTTGGCTACCTTGCATAGTTTTTTCATAATATTCATTTTCCATGAAATTTTCTTTTTAAAAAATTTTTTAAAAATAATTATTTATTTACTTTTACTTATTCATTCATATTTTATTTTATTTTATTTATTCTTTTTAGAAATTTGATTAGAGAGAGAACAAAGGAAAGTGAGAAAGTGAAAGTAAGCCACCAGGTCCGGGACTTAAACCGTGGTCGACCACGTGAGTGTCCAGCACCTTAACCATTATGCCATCTGCTGGTCCCTAACATTTTTTTTTAAGAGAGATTTTTGCAGAGGGCATGTGTGCTCATCAGAGAGACAGAGACAAAGCAAGAAATCACCCTCTCAGGGGAGGATGGCCACATCACAATCCCTTCTTCATTCTCCTCTTTGGATTTTGGACTCGCATACAAATGCACCCAGTGTGAGTTTTTTGTTTTGTGTGTGTGTGTGTGTGTGTTTTAATTTATTTACATTTAATCATATGTCTTGACAGTATACATTTTCTTTGCCAACACAAATACCATGCATGTCAGTCAAGACAAAGATATTACTACATACATTATCATTGGCAAATAGCTTCTCATTTTTTGTCATTTAAACATACTTTTACCAGTTTTTTCTTTTCCCTTTCCCCTCCCTCCCTTCCATACTAAGCTTTTTTTTTCCCACACTTTATTGATTCACAAAAGATATTAAAGTATGGGCAAAGCTAGAATCTAGTGAGAAATGTATTGTAATTTTCCTCTGAAACATTCTTTTTTCTCTCCATTCCCCCTTTTACTAAAGAGAGTAAAACTTATTTGCAAAAAAAAAATTAGGTTAATCTCAATTTGGTCTGTTGTTTACACAAAGCCCCATAAGAACTCAATTTTTGATGCAAGGCAACAGATACTATTGTATTATTGAACTTATGCAAAGAACCATTCTGCCATGAAATAAGAATGTTCACAAATATTTTCCAATTGCAAAGGGGTCAGTAAGGGAGAAAAGTTTATATTTCAATTAAAACATTTTTTAAAACAAATTGCTGAACCTATCAACAACTTAAAATAAAGCAAAAATCCTTAAATCTGCAAGACAAAGCACAGAAGAAAATCAGTAATGTTTTAGAAGAAAGTCAGAATTCTATTTCACTGGTTCAATCTTATGTAATCTCTTTTGTTGAATTTGCAGTGTTACTGTGGTCTGAACTTTCCATTAACATTCAACATTATTATTGATATTTTAGAACTTGTCCCTACCATGAAGTTGGCCTTTTTCTTGATCATTTCTTGTTCTCTTATTTGTCTGTCTATCTTTAATTTTCCTGGTATAGTACTTCCTTCAGAACTTCTTGAAGAGCTGGTCTGGTATTGGTAACTTCTTTCAGGTTTTGTTTGAGAATGTTTTTATCTTTTCTTCCCGTATGAAGGATAATTTTGCTGGATATAATATTTTTGGTTGAAATTGTTTTTCACTTAACACTTTGAATATATTTTCCCATTCTTTCCTTGTTTGCGTTGTTTCCGACAAGAAGTCCAATGTTAGCCTGATGGGATATCCTTTGAAAATAACTTGACTTTTTTCTCTTCCCAATTTTTGTATCTTGTCTCTCTCTGTGGTTTTGGTCAATCTGGCTATGATGTGCCTTAGAGAAGATCTTCCTGAGTTGATTCTATGTGGGGTCCTTTGTATTTCTTGGATCTGGATATTTGAATGCCTCTCTAGATTTGGAAAGTTTTCTTCTAGGTTTTCATGGAATAGATAATCAATGTCCTGACTATTTTCTTCTCCTTCTAGAATACCAATTATCCCGTGTTTGGGCATCTAATGGTATCTAGTATTACTCGTATATTATTCTCACTTTTTTTTTGGTTATTTTCTCATTTTGGTGAATTTTTCTAGGTCAGAAGTTCTGCCTTCTACATCTGAGATTTGATCTTCTGTATGATCTAATCTGCTTGTAATCCTATCAAGGGAGATTTTGATTTCTTATATTACAACCTTCATCTCTAACAGTTCCCTTCTTTTTTATGGTTTGTATTTCCTCTTTCAGGTCGTGCAAGACTTCCTCCTGGAACTTTTCTCCTGCATTTTCTGGAGTTTAGTATCTCTCTTCTCTTCCATCTCTGTTAGCTTTGTCACTATGAATATTCTAAATTCTTTTTTTTTTTTTTGAGAGGTTTTTGCTATAGGGCGCATGCGCTTGCCAGAAAGACAGAGAGAAACAGAGAGACAGAAAGTGAGAAATCACCCCCCCCCAGGGGGGATGGCCATACCACAATCCCTTCTCCTCCATTCTCCCCTCAGGATCTTGGGCATGTGGCATGAGTTTAAGCCACCAGGTCCGGAACTTGAACTGTGGTCGACTACATGGGAATTCATCAACATAGCCATTACGCTAACTGCTGGTCCCTGAATATCCTACATTCTTTATCTAATAGTTCCATGAGTTCCTTTGTACTATCTGTGGATGATGAAGGGCTGTTCTTTCCCCTTGGGGGAGAGGTATTTTCTTGATTTCCCATATTTCTTGTGCCTCTGTGGTGGTTTCTGGTCATCTGATGGATTATACAGTACTTCCTACCTCCTTGGAGTTAATTCTAAGTGTTAGAGGCGTGCAAAAGGAGATGACCTGCAACATTTCTGCAGTTCCATTTCCCTGATCCTCACCAAGCAACCTGTACTTTTGTCAGCAGAACTGGATATTACAAAGTTCTCACAGTTTCAAGGGAATAGGTGCACCTGGGCTGAGCTGCATGGTTTCAACTAAGAAGTGTGTGGGAGGAGATGAGCCGCACTTACTGTAGCTTCTCACTTCGCAGACTCTTTTCTCTGATTTTTAGTCTTTTGGTGGTATATTCACTTTTGGCTAATCTGTTAGAGACTTTTGCTACTGAAAGCTAATGTGCTTCGGTTTATACTGTGAGGTGGTTCTATGCCTATTTCTCCTCTACTAGTATGTTTTTCAACACGCTATCCACAGAAAGGAATTTGAATTTAGATTTATAAAGATGAGGTTCTCACTTTCTCCAGCAGTTCAATGGGATTGAGTTTTCTATGACCCTAAAAGTATTCAGATGTTTCACTATGGTACATCTAGACCTACCTAGACACTCAACGTGTGGAAGGTGAGAAAGTCAGGTAGAAGAAAGGAAACAAAGAGAAAAATTTTAAAAATGAAAAGGGAAAATATTTTTTTTAAAAAAAGGAGAACTGGATGACAGGCTACCACACCACATAAAATGGGTTTTTTAAAAAAAAGGCAGAAAAATGAGAACTGTGCAGCGAAAGGGGCAAGACTAGTCCCACCTCAGATGCACATGGATTCTGAAATTAGCAAGAAAAAGGAGAGGTCAGAGATAAGAAACAGTACCTACAGATTTTTAAAAACTTTATATATATATTTAATGTTTCTCTTTTACATATATATATATATATATATATATATATATACACACACACACACACACACACACACACCGGCTTTACCTTAGTCTCCAATAGGTGTACAGTTACAAAAGTCTGAAGAGGCCTTTCTGAGTTACGGGCATGGGAAATCATCACACCTCATACCCTTTCCTCCATTTTTCCCTCCTGTAGGGATCTTGAGCATACATGTACGTGTGACTGATGTGTTCCTAAAGCTGCTGGATCTGTGCTATTCATGCATTGGGGTTTGGTAGATTCCTACAAATATATTTTCCTGAATCAGAGTAGAAGTGCCATTTTAACCTTTATATTTTAGGTCACATTACCTACCCTCTGAAATTGACCATACCATCTCATTTTACTAATACTTTTTTCATCTCCATATTCCTTACCATTCTGGGTATTTTAGTCATCTTACCTTAGCAGAAAATTATGTGTTTTTCAAACAAATATCATATAATTGGAATTATAAAATATATATACATTAAAATTGGTTTCTTTTACTTACTCATATGTATTTGGGTTTCTCATAGCTTGATAGTTTTGTTTTTTTGTTTTGTTTTTGGAGAGGTTTCTCCTATAGGGTGTGTGCACTCACCTCGCCAGAAAGACAGAGACAGAAAGCGAGAAGTCACCCTCCAAGGGGATGGCCACACCTCAATCCCTCCTCCTCCATTCTCCTCTTAGGATCTTGGGTACACACGTACACACGCCCGGCATGAGTTTAAGCCACTGTGTCTGGTACTTGAATTGCAGTCGACTACATGGGAGTCTGCTGACATAGCCATTACTCCAACTGCTGGTCCTAGTTTATCTTTTTTTATGCTAAGTAATATTCTGTTTTCTGGATGTGCCACAGTCTATTTACCAAAAGACATATTTGTTGACTCTAAGTTTTGGCAATTATAAATAAAGCTGCTATACATATCCATGTGATAATTTTTGTACAGATATAGATTTTCAGTTCCTTGGGAAAATACCAAAGAGATGGTTAACTTTTCGAATTACACTTTCAAATATAATATGTTAGTGGCAGTAATGAGTTGGGTCAAATTGTCTTTTCAGCCACGCAAAATATTGTCATTTCCCCCTTAGTTCATAGAGACATTAAAGTTAGTGAATATATTTTTCTCCATTTTCTGTTAGCATTGAGCAAATCAG